TGCCTCAGCTTCCCCAGTGCAGGGATTACAGACGTGAGCCACCACGTCCGGTTTCGGTGGTTGGCACAGCATGGCAGGCTATCCTGGGGATCGAACTCAAGTCCTTGCATTTCCCAGGCAGGCGCTTAGACCGCTAAGCTATCTCCCCAGCCCTCTAGCTTTTAAGTAATCTATTTACGTTAGAAGTATGCTGGGAGGTTTTTTTTGTTTTTTTTTTTAAGGAGTACAAAATAGTATTAAAACAGAAAAAAAATTACAAATGATACAGAATTTCATGAGAAAGGGAGAAAATAAAAGACAAATTTCATTTAACAAAGTTATATGAATTTCACAGTATTTGTTGTCATACAAAGTGTTGTTATGTCAGGACTTTTAAGAAAATGCTTCAAGGGGGCCGGGGAGATAGCTCAGTAGAATGAGCGCTTGCCAGGCAAGTGCAAAGGCCTGAGTTCAATCCCACTTTCGCCAAAATAAACAAACAAACTTGTTTTAAAAAAAGAAAAGAAAATGCTTCAAAAATGTTATCTATTGCTTTAAAAGCAAAGAATAAGTTAAAACTTGGGAAGCAATCAAGTAAAGCACGCCACACAGACCCATCACTAAATTAAACATTCTTAAAGAAAATAGAGATTTAGCTATTGATATGATATGGAATATAAGAGTAGTTATAGTTGAAATCAAAGTAGCAGAGATTAAAATAAAAAAGAATTGAGCTTCTCATTTCAATTTTCTGCTGTAGTTCTCTACACTATGCAGGGTTTCCAGAGAATATTCTTTGAATTTAAAACAATCAGTAAGCCCAGGCCTACTGGCCGGTGCCTGCACTCCCAGGTACTCCAGAACTTAGGAAGACCGCGCAGAGCCCAGGAGGTAGAGGCCCGCCTGGGCAAAAGGCAGCAGGACCCTGGCTCAAATTAAAAATAAACAAATAAAATTATATAAGTAGAAAACATAGGCCTAGGTAATGTAGCTTAATTTTAAAACCTCCTAATTCTATAAGACATACATAGATGTGCTCAAGAAGCAGCTGTACTCCTTTCTTTCCACGAATGACAGCTGTATTTCACTTATTAATTTTTTTCAATTTTTTATTTTATGTTATTTTTGCGGAACCGAGGCTTGAACTCAGACCCTTGCGCTTGCCAGGCCAACGCTTATTCTACTGAGCCATCTCCCCGGCCCCGACCGTTGCATTATTCACTTTAAACTGGAAACACTACATCCTTTGATATGTCAGTTGAGAAAAGGGCATTAAGAGCCATGTGTTTTTTCAAGGGATTCTGAATTCTCAGAATTATTAACTACAGGGAGAAAATAAAAGACAAAACTCATTCAATAAATTCCAGCGAGCTCCGATTGACAGAACAGGTGCCCAAGCACACATCTGAGGAAAAGCTTAGCGCGCGCTTTGCAGCGCTGCCCCGGGGCCCGGCCCGCCACGGAATGACACAGCGCACAAGCCTCAGTTCATCACTCACTCGGCGAAGTGGCTTCACACACGTCTTACCCCGGCAGCCCTGGAGATTTACAGATGCACAGCTGCCACCTAGTGGCTACCGAGGAAACAGCAGACGGCTTCACAGGGAAAACTAAGCTTTTACGACTGCAATAACAAAACTAAAATTTGTAAAATTAACACAACTTAGCACATAAACATCAGAGTTCAATTTCAAGATGCATAGGTCAATGCACCCATGATAGTCTATAATAATACCCGCACCTATGACTTTTATAAAAGGTATAGTTGAAAGGTAAAGAATAACAACTTTTTAATAAAATTCTCATCCATCTGATGGTTTTGAAATCAGATTACTCATCTATAAGTATAAACTTTCATCAGAGAAGAAGTATAAAACTTGATGCCTAAGCTCAAATCTTAACTTTAGCCTTTATAGGTTTACTTTTAACTCCTACAGACAGGCAGGCAGGCATGACAACAGGCAGGCATCTTTTTTAAAAATCATATAAATATAAATTACAATAGCTGTGTTAAGGATTATAAGGAGTAATGTAAGAACACAGTTGGTGATAATTAATTGTAGTTCCTTATAATCCCATAATCCCTTTATGCCAGTTACTTTAGAGTCCTATGCACACACCTATGTCATTCAGAGAACCAACCCATTAAAACAAAATTTATGACAAAGGCCAATGATTCCAAAAGTAAGTGATGCCTTTGTTGAGGTGCTTAATCTTTTTTATTTTTTATTTATTTTCATAGAGGGTCTCACTATGCAGTTCAGACTTGTAGCAATCCTCTTGTCTCAACCTCCCCAGTGCTGGGATTATAGCGTGTACTACCACCCAGGGCTCTGGGGCTGGCATGGCATGCAGTACCGGGGATCAAACCCAGGACCTTGCACTTGCCAGGTAGGCACTGATGCCACTGAGCTATCTCCACTACCCGAGTGCTTAATCTTAACTGCTTCCAAATATTGTTACCCCTTGATTAACTCACTGTATCTCCTGGTTTCTCCACACCTCACTGCCAAGAAAGAAAGGGAAAGATGTGGTATTTAATCAATTTACTTTATCTTTGAGTCTGTTTTAAATCTAGTCCATTGGGTTTTCTGCTTTAGCAAGATATTCTGCTATGTTACGTAGCTCGAGAAAAATAGAAGGTCACAGGGCAAGCCAAATAGCTCAGTGGATTAAAGTGCCTGCAAGGAGGTGCAGGGGCTGGGGGTTCGGTCACCGGGCCTGCTGTGCTGGTCCTGCCCCTGGGGCACACCGAGATGGCAATTGAGACTGGGCCAGTGGCGCGCCTGTAATCCCAGCTGTAGGGAGGCTGTAAACAGGTGGATCACTATGTCTGATCTAATAGTGAGACCCTGAACACCCTGCAGACACTTCCCTAAAATAAAAAAATAAAGAAAAATAGAAGATCACTAAAAGTGATCTTCTATGCACATGTGATCATTTTGCACATGAGAATATATTACAAAATACTGTAATTGTAATCTTAATAGAGAGAATAACGTCATTCATATTTTATTGATATTATAGAATACTTAGTGTCTAGGTTTTCTTTCTAATAAAGAACTCAGTTATATATATCCTAGACATAGAATTTAGAAAAATCTAATTTAGTTATGTTTGCTTGCCCGGAAAAAGAAAATATAAAAGGATATTTTGAGGGGAAAATCTTTATTACTAAAACTCCCCCCCCCCATTATTTGCTAATCATTATAGTTAACTAATAACCACCAGTTCTGCCTACCTCGTTTCTCTGGGTCGATACAAGTTTCTTTTCTGACAAAACAGAATTCTGGGAAGACTTTCTGTTAACTGACACTGTCCTTAAGTGTATCTTTACTCTTAAAGGTGACAGTCCACCTAGATTTATTTTTTAAAAAGTTAGCTGTGATTCAAATTCTCAGTTAGTGCTATACCCCGCTGTTCCTGCAGGGGGAGCACAGCTCTCATGTACGACCCAAGGCTTTGCAAAGGGCAAATCCCTGAATACTTTGATAAATTTTCAAAGATCACCAATTCTTATTTTAACAGAAAAGAACACTGTGTTACAGATAAGCTACAAATGTTATCACACACTAACCAGAAACAAATCTTGGTCTAGAAGTGAGGGGCAAGTACTCTGATTTCCTACTGGACCACACTTTACAGAACTGAACACATTTCCTTATGCTGATTTTTAATATAAAATATTTTCTTTCTTTTTTTGTATCTAGTACAGGGTCTACAGGGTCTCACTACATAGGTCAGACTCAGGGATCTACCTGTGTTCAGCCTCCCAAGAGCTGAGATTACAGGCTTGTGCCACCACGCCCAGTCTCAATCTCCATCTCAGTGCCTCCCAGAGTCAGGGCTGGAGCAGCACACCAGGGATCGAACCTCAGTCGCTGTGCTCTGCCTAAGATGGTGCTTTAGTCCACTGAGCTATCTGGCCAGCCCTAAAATCATCTTCAAAAAGCATAGCTGTGTGTGAAAGTAAAAAAATAAATTTTAAAAATGGCTTATATATACAATGATTGTTACCCAAAATTATTGTTCCTTACAAATGTTTACTTTTTACTCTTTAAAGTAAGTCCATGTAAGTAGAAGGGAAAGAGACAAAATTTGACTTCTTTAATAACAGAAAAATAGGCCTGGTGAGATAGCTCAGTAGTCTAAAGTGCCTGCTTGGGCAAGCTTAAGCAGGCTCAGGAGACCACAGTTCAATAGCCAGCACCACATGCTGTTCCAGCCCTGCCCTCAGGGCAGGCTGAACAAGCCTCATAATAATAATAATAATAATAATAATAATAATAATAAATAATAATAACAATAATAGAAAAATTCCCACGCATGGTGGCACATGCCTGTAATCCCAGCACTTGGGAGGCTGAGGCAGAAAGATTGCTGTGAGTTTGAGACCAGTCTGGACTACAAAGTAAGTTCAAGACTTAAGGCCAGCCTGAATTGCATAGCAAGACTCTGTCTCCAAGAGGAAAAAAGATGATTCCATAGAAATGGAACAGACATTAATATTTATCCACTAAAGCAATTTAAGAATCTTAGTGGTTGTGGCTACAGCTCAGCGGTAGAGCGCCCTGGCACTGTCTGCTGGAAAGGGGGAGGGCAATCTGGTTTGATTTCAAAAATCTGTGATAGTCTGTTTCTCTCTTTCTCTGTGTCTGTCTCTCTTCCCTTCCCCCTCTTCCCCTCCCCCGCTTCCCCTCCCCCTTTCCCCCTCCCCCCTTAGCGCCCATGGTTCTATCCCGCAGCACACTTCAGCACAGAAGCCCACTGACAGCAGCCAGGTTTCTGCGCCTGGATACGGAAATGACGCAGCTTCTGAAAAGCTTGGACTTGTTTCACTTCAAAGCCGATTTCTCTGCAAAAGCTAAATGGGAGAGCACATCCCTTTCTGCCTGGCTGGGCTCCCATAGACAGGGAGAGGAGGGCGGCCCACCAGCTGGGAGACGAGCAGGTGAAGCGCAGAGCCGGGCACAGTGCTCGGACACATAAGACAGTGATTCGGCAGCAAAATAAGATCTCACCTGCTGAGCGGCGTCTGAAGTTTTCTTTGGAGTTTCTAAAATAGCAGATTGAGATTCTGAGAAGGAAACGAAGAAGACAGTCAGTATCTGAAAAGTCAGAGAGGAAGGAAAAAAAACATTTTCCCCAGTCAAAAATAAAACTTTTAGCAAAATATATCTTTATTTTAGTACCAAAAATGCCCAGTCTCTTCCAATTATGGCACTAATAGATTATGACAATGTAAGAACTTTTCAGGAAATAAAAACTATCTAATGACACTCATTATTTTTCAAAACCTGAATAGTCCTGTTCTCTGCACATTAGCTGAGCAATTTTTGTCAACTGCTAATGTTTTTATTGGGTCAGGAAATCCTAACAGTAACAGAAGCCACCTCAGCCTGGAAGGAGGACATCTCACAAGCCTTCTGGACTCTACTAACAAATCACCTCCAGGGCCGGGGAGATAGCTCAGTGGAATAAGTGCCTGCCCGGCAAGCACAAGGTCCTGAGTTTGATCGCTGACACAGCTTAAACATCACCTCTGGTTTCCGTAGGAAGGAAGGAACATTGCTTGCAGCACTGACTGAGTACTAACGCACTGTTTCTTCCCAGTTTTCATCCTTGGAGCCTACGAGATCGCAAATTTATCATGCCAGAAGCCCTAAGGAATAACCAAGTCTGGGAGACTTGTTTAAACTGGAGGACACCCTCTCCTCAAGGGAGCTTACATGCACATTCGAAAATACAAAAATAAAAGTAGTTTGCAGGCATCCCCAGAGTCCCTGGCGTCAGAGTGTAGAGACATCCCTTCTCATCCCTCCTTGGTGCTGCACGTCAGCAGCCCCAGCTGCACGGCACAGACAATGGCAAGACGAAAAGAGGGCTTACGTCTCCTGACCATTACATTCCTGCCCCTTAACTGCCTGGCCTGAACACCGTACAATGATGGACACAAGACACAGCAGTCCCTTGCCACGATCCCCGCAACAATCCCAATGTAGAAACACTGGAGCTGCCACTCTGTGGGGAAACACAAAGCACTTCCTGTCTCAGTAGCACACTCTGTGAGGCGGCCATCAAAGTTTTCACTGTCCTCGATGAGTGTCGCTCTTGACACAGGCCTTCGAGCACTTGCTCCTCCCACACTTCCCAGTCGGCTGCCTCCACTTTCTCCACTCAGTGCTCTTGGGGCTCCAGAACACTGGCTAGCTTGCTGTCCCCTTCTGCACCAGCCAGGGCCCCTGCCCAGAGCCTCCAAAAGCCACAGAGGTTGCTGTTCTGCCCAGGATGATCCTCCTTCTGCCCGGTATCTTCAGGTTCCCTTCCTCAGCTCATCTTCTCTCTTATACTGACAAATATACAGTCTGAATTGACATCAGAGGGCCGGTGACAGCTCAGCAGACTAAGCTCCTGCTTAGGCAAGTACAGGGACCAGGGTTTGATCCCTAGTACCACATGCAGCACTGGTCCCAGCACTGAACCAGCCACCGAGTCTGGGCGTTGTGGCGCATGGCTCTAATCCCAGCACTGGGGAGGCTGAAAACAGGAGGATCACTATGAGTCCGAGCTGCATAGTGAGACCCTGTACCAAATATATAATGAAAAATAAAGCTAATAATAAGGAAACACTCCTGTCTTCCGGCATTCTCTGCTTCTAGTTCCTCTCCTACACGGACTCCAGCCCAGTCTCAGCTTTGTGCACATGGAGGGAAGTCTTTCTCTCTTCTTTGCATTTACACAGCACAGTAGGAGTCCAGAGGATCTCCTAGTGGTGTCTTAATAGTTCATTACCTTAGAAATACTTCCCAGGTTTTTTTATATTCCTTGACCTGTGACCCACATTTTTAAAAAATCCTTGTGCTTACTAGAAAGATTGGGACCAAATATTCTGAACACCTATACCCCAATTCCATTTCCCTTCATTTACAGGGTATGATAAAAATATATGGTGAATTTTCGGGGTGGGGGGGTGGTAAAAATGTATCATAGCAAAAGATATATTGCTGTTAATATTTATTGAAGTTCTTCTCCCTTTCACTGCAAGAATACTTATTCCATTACTCTTGCCACTTTCTAAAAGAGTTCTGGAAGCTCTCTTCTGTGGGTGTCTTTTAGTTGTTCCATCCTGGCTCCCTTGATGTTCTGAGTCACCCAAAACATCCCCATAGTGTGGTCATTTTGACTTTGACGAATCAGCCAGAAGCCCCGTGACGCCAGATCCAGTGACTAAGGTGGGTGATGACACAGGGCAGTGTTTTTACAAGGCTGCTGGGTGGCACGTGGCACTCACATTCACTGTGCCCTTAATCACACCTTATAAAGAAAACAGCTTTAGAAAGTGGCAAGGAGGGGATGGTGCCTTCAAAGGGAGGGGGAGCATCTTCATGGAGATTAATGGCGATGTGTCTTTCTCTGTGATGATTAATTTATGTTATGTTTTGTTCATTCCGTCTAGGTCAGTGATTTCCAGAATAGAATTCACGCCCCTCTCGCCATTCTTTTGACTGTATACTGTTTTCCTCATTGCAAGTGTTGAAACATCTAAGAGAAATTCATGTCAAAATGGATTTTTTGTCATCATAAGCTGGAGGGGAGGAGCACTAGAGGGTAAAGGTGTGAAGATGAAAGGTGAGCAAAATGACTACCGTAAGATAAAAGAAATAACTGAAAAGAAAGAAAAAGAAAAATGGAGTAGGAACATACAGGCAAAAAAAAAAAAAAACAGGAGAAAAAGGGTATAGGAAGAAAAAGAGCTTTTTTAAAAAGGCCAAAGAATTGCACGAGCAGAGGCAAGAGCTGCGATGACTGAGGCGTTGGGGCACTGGGAGGCAGTGGACGTGAACGGCTCCAGGCAGGACTGGCCGGACAGGGGCACCTGAGAATCGCTCGGCTGCGGCACCCACCGCGCTAGGATCACAGTGGCCACCGTACAAACTGATGCTCCTCTGACCGTGCCCCTCTAGGCCCGGGGCACCCTCAGACCTGCCTTCACTCCAGTTAGTCTCTATTCAATATTCATCAACTAGAATGGATTTTTAAAAAGCAACCCAGTTAGTGTGACCTCAAAGGTACATTTAAAACCTCCATCCCCTTTACTAACCTTTTGTAAAAATCAAGAAATTAGAATATTTAATAGCAAATCTAGGGGCTGGGGATGTAATTCAGCAGTACACTGTCTTCTTGCATTTGCGAAATATGGAGTTCAAACCCCTCCACTGGGCAGAAAAAAACAGCATTATGAAGCAAAGAAGAAAATATTCCTAAAAAATAATACATGTTCCAGCTTTCCAAAGCTACCTCAGAAAACTCTCAGCATAATTTAAAATCCTAGGCTACATACAACTCCAATTGTTTCAGAAATTACTTTTTAACATCACAAAATAAGGCTACCACTATAAAAGGAAACATTCTTGGATGAGCTTTGTACTGTATTTATATCAATGAGAAAGGCATACATAGTAGGATATGCTACCAATTTGTGCTAAAAACATAAATTAGCACTGTTATTCTCCTACAGTCTTGCTTTGAAAATGTGTATCACTGTTCTTATTTTTCTTTTCTTCACATAATTTTTTTTAAAAAACATAAATTAAACTGCCTCTATAAGTGTATACAACATATGCCTTCTAAAAATAAATTAAGTGGTCTTGAGCAGTTTCATACTTTAAGTATTTTAAATGAAATACCCTGATATAGGAGTTAGGGATATAGTTTAGTGGCAGACTACTTGGCTAACATGTATGCGGACAAGGGTTCAATTCCCAGCTCCACCAAAAAATGTGTGCATATGAAATTACTCAATCATAGCACACATCCATTGGACTGAGATCTGGTCAATTTAATTGAAATAGAATTCATTAAATTTAATTTAAATAACATGCCTTAGAACTAGCTGCCTAATAAATGATAGATGCTTTAAATTTTGATGTGTCATGTCCTTCCAGCGATGAAGATGAACTTTAACATTAAGGCTTTCCTCCATGGAGTCAATCCTATTTCCATTTACTTAAGTCAACAAAAGATATTCACATTCAGGAATTACCTATGTAGTTACATAGGAAGTTACCTATATAACCGGAAAATACAGACCAATCTTACCCCTTATTTAAAAAAAAAAATGCACATGTGCACGTAAGTGCTCGCTGTAGGACACGCAATCCATCCGTTCTAGAACATTCGCCTCTAATTCGATGTAGGACTCCGTCATCTCACCCTTGCTGCCTCACAGTATCCCTGCATGACCTCAACTGAGCACAAAGTATTTGAACAAAACAGAAGTGAGACAAGACTGTGTTTGAATTACATCACACATATTCTCTTTTCTTGGGCACCATAAGAGTCATTTCTTCGAGCTATTAGAGACCAGAAAAATTGTACTCTTATGAACAATGCTGTTTTTAATCTGTTAGATACTGAAGATAATATAGAATGGCTCACATTTCCTGTCTACTTTTAACCTAAGGGATAAATTCCAAATTAGCTCTAAAATCTGTAGAGCCTTCTGAGATGTGTTCCGGTGTGCTAGGTTATCTCCACTGCACTTCAGCACTTCATCCTAAGGCCATTCTGGTTTGATGCATTTCCCTTTGTGACCCTTATGCATACCATATAAATTTATAAGCTGCTCACATCTTCTTGGAACAAAGGTAGGTTTTTATGCACTCAGCTAGCACATATATTCTTTAAGATTTCTAAAGAAAACATGCCAGCTGTTTCCACCAAATCCACACATGTGCTTGAGTGTACACATATATGCTGTTTTTTGAGTGTGAAGGATTGAACACAGGGCCTTACATGAGTGCTAGGCAAGTGCTCTATTAATGAACTAGTCTTTCAGCCAAATA